CTCACACTAGTTTTTAGCTAGTTATATCTTCTTGAAATTATTACAGTTAACTCAGTGACATTGGGCAGAAAAACTAGTAATTAACGGACAATTGGGTACCCCCATTGGCACCCTCTTTTGATAATAACGAATTCTTGAGCTAGGCTTCCCATGGTTGGTCCATACATAATTGCTAGATTTCCATAATCTGATGGAAGTTCTCGAATTTCGTTTAATGAAAGAAAGGTATGAAGTAGCGGTGAGAGCGCTAAACGCTTACCAATGTGTCTTACATGTTTCTAGATGGCTCTCTTCTGTGATCTGAGGATGTTTTGGATATCTTTTATGAATATATAATACCATAAATATAAAAAAGAAATGTCACTTTTTCAAGGTGGAATTTGGGGCATTTCTTTGGTATTTCCATGTCAGCCTCACAACATTAAAGAAAGGCCCATATCTACATGAAATAATTCCTTGAAATCATGTCTTTAATTTGAAATGCTAGCTCTTGTAAAATGATTCGGAACTCTGGTAACCAAGAGAAATCTAAAAATAAGTACCATTTAAAGTGGACATCAGAACAATGTTCTTTGAACCACCAATCAGATTAAGGAACTAAGCTATCAAAAATTTATGAACCCGAAAAGCAGTGTGTCTCTTCAGTTGTTAAGATCAACATTGAAGTTTGAATTCCTAAGAGATAGTCGACTTCCGCAGAATAAGTTATAGTCTCTTGTTTACCATGTCTTGTCAGAATCTTAACGTTGTGACTAAGAATTTTCTCATTCGTCTTGCCATATATATTCTTTATAGTATTCTGGGAGCGTTGGTTTTTATGAGCATCGAAAACAATGCAATTGAAGAGGAACTCAAAAATCTAGAGAAGACGAGAATTCAGGCACGAAACAGCCTGGCAGAAATGCAAAACAGTACTCACTTCTTCAATATGACGGTTGATCAAATGGTTGCATTTGCAAGAAGAGTTGTTCAAGTTGAAAACGAATTAAGCGCGACACCAACGAAATGGACGTACGATCAGGGATATCGCTTAACGTTTGAAATCATGACAACAATTGGTAAGAAAAATATAAAAATTATGTTTTTTTATTTTTCATTTCTAATGTATTTATTAATGCGTTACGATTTTTCCATTGTGGACTAAACTAGGGTACAGAAACATGTAAATGATCCATGTATTTCACAAAATGGACATATTAATCTAAACGTTGACAGCGGATACAAAAATCTTTGTTTTACTTGTTCACGTGCACTCAAGACATATATGCATTATCTTCAATTCGCTTCGAATAGCAATATAGCATCGTAACACAAAAAAGTAACAAAGAGCATCAAAGAAAAAAAAAATTTTTTTGATTTTAAAAGTATAGATCTTCTTTTTGATTATTTGCCAAAAAAATTTAACTTTTCTCCAGAATAATTTTTTTGATTGCTTTGAATTTTAAAATTGCTAAAATCTTTAATTATATTTGGGTGCGTAGTCAAGTAAAAAAAGTTATTTGGTGAAGAATAGATATATGAATAAATGAATATATGAATGAATAAGAAGAAATGGACTTTGTATATAATTATTTGCCACTAACAAAAATGTCTTTTGAGGAAATAATCCATGTAGTGTAAGAATGCGATACAACATGAACAGAGGACTCTATCGTTGCACAAACTACTTTATTATCCACCATTAGTTATTCAAATAAGCCAATTTCTCGTGGAGTCAATAAAAATCAATCGAAGATATTGTCCGCTCATACTAAGACCCCCATCAATACCTGCAGATATTATATCTAGAGTATTGATTAGGTGACGTTGCCCAAGATGAATGTGCTGCAGGTGTATGGCAGTAAACAATGATAATTTTCGAAGTTATTGTTTTAGGGAATATGAATATTCATTTTTGATATCTATCATACTGAGTTCAGTTCAGTTCAGTAAGGAGCGTTTCAGCGAAAATATCAAAGTCAGGTTTAATTAATTGACAGTGTTTTTAATATTTGGTTGTTATGGAAACAAAAAGACTTCAACACGAGCGAAATGTTTTTAAATTTGCTTAAAGTGTATATGACACGAAAACATTTCATCGTTTAAAATGTATAGTTTGTTAATAATAATAAATATGTCGTAATAAAATTTGTTTCAAAAGCTTATTTCTTGAGATATGTGAGAAAATTAAGCCCAATTTGTGACGTCATTTTATTGACACGTACTCTAGATTCGGTAGTAAGGTACTAAATATAAATTGTAATTCGTATAAAATAACAACAAAAGGCATATTCTATTCAGCTTTATTTGATAGCTTACGTAGTACTCTTCAAATGTTGGGGAACTGAAAAGTGTACTACCTGAAATTAAGATTCTGCATTCAAACATATTTCGTGTATTTACAACTAAATCTGGAGACTTGTAAACAAAATGGCGTCACAACGCGTGCTAAATTTTCTTGAATTTCTAGAGAAATACGTTTTTGAAACAAATTTAACCGTGATATTCTTATTCATGCCAATAAAATACACATTTTTAACATTAAATTTTTTTCGTGTCATATGCACTTTAAACGGTTTTCCCCATAGTCGTCTTAACGACTAAGACATTTTAGGAAATAAATTAAGCGGCTAAAATCATTTTTATACAATTTCTTGTAAGTTATATTCCCTAATTTTTTTTAACGTTAGTCATACGACAAGTTTCAACGAGTTCAAAATTCTTGAATGTTTTCAAATTAATGCTAATTCAAATGCTAGAATTTTTTCCATCTTTATCTTATCGAAAATCCAGAAAATAAATGAAGTCGTTGATATTATAATCTTCTAAAACTCTTAATCATAAATAATTAACCGTCTAAAGTTCCAAATTTTCGATTTTTCACAAGTCGATAAATTTTTCTGTATTTAGTTCAATATTTATACAGGCACATCTAGTCTAGCTAGTTTAAATAGTCTGGATAGGAAATGAAACTGTAGGATACTTAGCGTCAGTTTTTGAATAAAGGAATCATGAACAATATAGTTTACATCTTGTATGTATTAACATGATAACGGTTTTTATGTCAGCAGAAAAAGCAGTCGTACTTAAAGCTAGACACTTCTAGCTTTAGGCAATTCAGCTTTAAACACTTCCAAAGGTCTCCAAAGCTCGTAGCAATTAAAAATTCACGCTATTCAAAAGTCATATCTTCGCGAGATTCTAACTTATTTTCCTTCAAATTCCACAGTTATAATGATTTTAATGCTCTTTTCAGCTATGGTAATTTTCATTTTTGTTTCACTAATTTAAAAATACCTGTCAGTTGAAATCAAAAGTAGAGTGAAGTATGGATAAACTATCGATGCCATAATTAGAATTGAAAATATATTTATTCAAAAGAAAAGGTCAGTTCAGTTTGTGTTTTCATTAATAATCTTAATATTACCGTTTGAATTGTTTAAAATTCAGTATGCTTGCTTCAATTGAAAACAGTTTTCCCTGTCTAAGACATTAAGAGTCACCTGTCAGTATGATCATTGACAGTTTTATTTTTATTGCGAATTATTTCTTCTTCTTCTTCTTCTTCGGATCTTGGATTTCGAATTCATAGGGGTTTTGAGAACATCTTCTATTTTTAGCCAACTAGGAACATTATTAAATTGTACCTCAAAATCACTCGAACCTCAAAAATATAGGTGACGTCATCCCGATTGCGTTGGTATGGTGCAATCCAGCAAACTAAAAATAGACATGAGCTATCCAGATATTCGGACAAGAAGTCAGAGCATCCGGCTGAATCCGGAGCGGATAGTCCGGCCGATGCGCTGGCTCCGGAGCTGCTCCGGAGCCGGGCATTCACTCGTGTCGATGCCTTACAACCACAACATCGTTCCGAAACTAACTGTACAAGGAGTCTGGTAGCTACAACGCAAGCGATGGTGAATACCTTTTGCGAGAATGTGAAAAACTCCATTCTAATACAGACTATCCTAGAGAACCAACCACTTTATACTCTCTGAGATCTAAAAACGAATATAAATAAATGACATCACCCTCTATCAATCTAAAAATAGAAGATGTTCTCAAAACCCCTATGAATCCGAAATCCAAGATCCGAAGGCGACCGAGTGAAAAATCCGGATCTAATCGATTGTCCGCAATGAATCCGCATGATCCTGATGCAGAACCATTGTTTTGTATGCTACTTTCTTCTTCTCGAGCACAATGTAGGATTCAAAAAAACTTTAACCAATCAGGAAAGAGCATAATCATTATCATATTGACGTCACAGTTGTTGATGACATCTAAGGCTTTTTTTTCTGATGTTCGTGCGTTGCTTGTTCCTGATTGGTCCAAGTTTAAAAGTTTGATTCCTTGGTTTCACTTTAACTTTCTTCGTGTGGTACCCGTGTCCACACATGCGCAGTTATAAGAACTTTTTGTTTTATAAATCATATGTGTGATTTTTTTATGATCAGTTAATTTGCTTTTCTACAAATTCTGTGCCGAGACATTTTTTAATGCACTTTTATTGAGAGTTTGTACCAAGTTAATCAGTGCATCTGCATGAACATCATTTTATTGGTGTAATTTTTAGTTATTCATTAGCATCATTATTACTCCCCTTCTTCTTCTTTATTATCTTCTTCCTCCCTCTATATATAGTAAAGAGTTATGATGGCGGTTGATGGTGATGGTGGACATGAAGTGGTGTACCAAGTTAATCAGTGCATCTGCATGAACATCATTTTATTGGTGTAATTTTTTAGTTATTTATTAGCATCATTATTACTCCCCTTCTTCTTCTTTATTATCTTCTTCCTCCCTCTATATATAGTAAAGAGTTATGATGGCGGTTGATGGTGATGGTGGACATGAAGTGGTGTAAGTGACGTGGTGGCGACTGATGGTAGTGGAGTGGTGGTTGTGGTGGTAGTGACTTAATATGACAGTGGAGAGGGTGTGGTGAGGATAGTGATGACTGATCATAATGATGGATTTGGTTGTGATCGAGTCGTAATGGTGGATGATGATGATGATGATGATGGTGTTGGTGGTGGTAGTGTTGGTGGTAAAGGAGGAGGAGTGGTGGTTGCAGGTGACCGATGATGATGATGATGACAATGATGGTGATGTGGTTATAGTGATGGTGGTGGTACCGGTGGCGGTGGTGTGGGGTAGTCGTAGTGTTGGACGTAATGATTGATAATAAAGACGGAGGCTCATTTTGATGTATATTCTACACATATGCATGCATTGCTGCTTCCACAGATTTTTAATATCCATTAATTTATATGTAGGGTACGGCTCAACTCCCCCAAAGACACAAACTGGTCGTCTCTTGTGCGTTTTCTACACTCTTGTTGGGATTCCAATATTCCTCTATTTCATGAAAAGCATAGGAGAAGTGTTAAATCGAGGCATGACAAGCCTCGTCCGACATTTAGAAAAAAAAGTTCTCAAAAGAAACGAAGACAAAAACGTCGAGCTCAAGGTCTTAATTGGCTTCATCATTGCGCTGATTCTTGACGTTTCCTTGGAGATCATTGTCGTTGCTCAAGATAAGAAGAGGGACTTTACCGTCATTGATGCATTCTATTGCGTCATCATCACCGCCACAACCGTTGGATTTGGAGACTTGACTCTAGAAAACGAATTAACTATGATTATCAGTCTGAGTCTTTTGTCCACAGTCTTGGACGGTGTTCTTTGTTACATGGAGAAGACGATAGAGGAACAGATTAATGAAACGAAAGGATGTCAGTGCTTCGGGTTGAATAAAAATGAAAATAGGAATACAACTGAGGATGCTGAGGCATATGGGGCAGATAACAAAGCAGTTACTGTTGAAGACTTGAGTCGGGACGAAAAGATGTAGTCTTTTCAGATAAAGTTTCATTCCCTATAGTATCATTTCTTTGTTTAACGGTTACGCATGAAAAGACACATAAATATGGATACAGCTCAAACAAAGAATCTTATTCCTAAGAGAATTACGCCGCCGTGGTCTGAGAGGGGAAAACTATTAAGCCCATGGTAACTAAAGAGGTGTAGATATTATTATTTACATTCAGCATTTGATATGACTAGAGCCAACGTATCTAGATCAGGTGGAGAGAGGCGTGTGATTGAACGATGCACTGTAAAAAAAAGAAAAGTATCTACTCTTGCTCAACACTGTACAAGCTAGCTACAATGTTTATGTAAGCTCCTACTTACCGGAAAGATAGATCTGGATGTTAGCAATGGGTGGGTTTGAAGACCTGTTTTAAAGCCCTGGTAAACTAAACCCAATACCATAAACAAAAACAACACTGTTGCTTTTCTTTTTCTTTTTCTTTTTCTTTTTCTTTTTCTTTTTCTTTTTCTTTTTCTTTTTCTTCTTCTTCTTCTTCTTCTTTATTTNTTCTTCTTCTTCTTCTTCTTCTTTATTTAATATTATGCTGAGTTTAAAAAGTATAAAATACACAGACGTCTCGATAAATTAGAATTAGCATTCCATTGTTTGAAGTGTAGGTTGTCTAGTTTTAGCTTTTTAGCACAAAATATTGTAAATAAAAGCAATAATCATTAGAATTTTTATTCTATTTGATAATTTACTTGATGAATTCTTTATCCATTTTTCGATCGAATTTGAGAATTACAAACGCTATTTGATTAATCTAACAGGAGTTTTTGCTCTTCTTTAACTTTCTCTTCCTTTTTTCGTTTGATATTTGTTTCTCATTCTTATCATTTATTTTTAACGTTATTTGCATCTAGTTCTTGGAGGAAAATTCTGACTGAAAATTTACGGAAACTGAAAACTACATGGACGTTTGATGCATTCGGATACTAAATTTTAAAAAAATCATTTTATTTAATAATATTTTTCTTAATTTAAAAATAGGGTGTTTCACAACGACAAGTTTATAGTCAAACGAAGACTACCCAAATTAAAGCGTGGAAAGGATTGATTTATGTGTTATTTTGTTAAACAAAGCCTGGACAGAAAAATATAATTACTAACGTCAGAATGCTGAGCAAGGCAATTAGACGCAAAACACCACAACAGACGCCAAAAAAAGAAGAAGAAAAAAAGTGAAAATGCTACCTCATGTAGAGAAAAGATTCTTTTTGGGAATTCTGTAAATATGAAATCTACATTTATACTTCTCGTACCTCAAAAAAAATCCACGAAAATTCTTTTTAGTTTTAGTATTTATTCTTTTCACTTAGGTTGCTGACCTTGTTTAACGAGCTCGCTTCTAGATGGCCAATTATACGAGTTTTCAATTAAAATCATCGCCAATCTTAACAAAGTTTGCCAACGCTTTTCACACATCCGGAGTGTCTTACAATTATTTGTAATAATTATTTGTTTAAAAGTACAACTTGTAGCTCTTATTTCCAGCTTTTCTTCCGTCTCGTGGTGGTAGCTTTTATCTGGTAAAAGCTTGGGTTGTCTATCTGTTTTGGAGATATAGATAAGTTAGAAAGATTTATATCGGCTAGTTTGAGTTGTTACAGATTTGAAGTTGGAGGTGGAGTTCTGTGTCGGACGCTTCGATGGCTGGATCGAAGCTGTTTTTGAGTTTTCTCTCAATCTTCGTAATTTCATTTATCGCTGGAGGAGAAAGGTAAGAAAAATATCAATCAGTAAATAAAATTTGCTTAAGCTGCAAATTGTGTACGTATCAAAAAGAAAAGAAAAGAAAAAATTGCCGAAAGTGTAAGAAAAAAGAGAAAATTGAATCAAGTTTAAATATATATATTAATTATATATTCCTTTTGGCGAAAAGTTGTTAATATTTTTTTTTAAGAATAAATAGTACTCATTTTGACGCTAACTCGATTATGCCATTGTTCTATTTCCAATATTTCTATTTCCCCTATTTTTTTTCTGCTTCTATATTGGGTATAATTTATTGTAAGTAAGCTTTTCAAAAAAAATCCCATTATTTCATTATTTTCGGTGCCGTTACAGTACTGGGCCATTTTCTATATAAAACATTTATATACATTTAGAAAACTATGCGGAACCTAACTTTACAACACTCAAAACCATTAAGCATCTAATATGGGATATAGTCCGTAATTATGTGGCAGTTTCTTGGCATGAAGTTGAAATGTGATTTCAACTTGTAACAAACTTAATTTGCCATCACTGACGAATTGTAAAGACGGTTACGCCAAAATAACGACGCGTTACCACTACACATCGTGTTTGTGTTAGGATTTTCCATGATTTTCAAAATAAGCAGTTTGTAAAACAATTTTAGGCTCAAAGTTTATTTTTGTTCAAAAAAGCTGTTATTGTTATCATCACCACCATCGTCCTTATCATCATAATCATCGTCATCTTCTTCATCCTCATTATCATCGTCTATCATCATCATCAACATCACCATCATCGTCATACGTCATCATCATTGTTATCACCCATCATCATCATCGTCATCATCATCCAGCATCACCATCGTCGTCATCTTTCATTACCATCATCATCATCTTTCATCATCGTCATCATTGTCCATTGTCATAACTCATCATCAACATCATCCTCGTCATCATAAAGTGTTCTTATTATTCATTATCATCATCATCATCCATCATCACAGTCATCGTCAAACACCATCATCATCAACTCATCGTCATCAACATCATCATTACCAATCAACACATTCATCAACACACGTCATACGTCATACCTCATACGTCATACGTCATACCTCATACCTCATACCTCACACCTCACACCTCA